TCTTCACCCTGTTGACAGAGCGGCACACCTGGGAATAATCCTGGTCCCGGGGGAAACCGGAGCCAAATATAATGTCACAGTTGCTGACGTCTATAAGCCGCGCCATCTGGATGATCTGAAAGGCGGCGTTGTTGGTCGTCAGCAGCAGGAGGTAACGAGATATGAAGCCCTCCTGCTGTTTGCGCATGTTCTCCTCCAGCAGACGGATGCAGCTGGTTTCCACCCCATAGGGAAGACGTAACTCCGTGGTGCAGCCCCGGAAGATTTCCAGAGGCCTGATATCTCTGGAGCCTCCAAAGTTTCTCTGAATGGCCTTTACGAGGAGCTCCTCTTGAGAGCTGCACTTCATGTCCTGCGTGTAGGACACGATCATTTTGATTAAGCTGTAGAAGTCGCGGAGCCCGAAGAACTCGGTTTTCTGCTCTTTCAGCACGTTGCAGTAGAAGTTGGCCAGGATGCGGAACAAATGATCAATTCTTTCAAGGTGAGGCTGGTCAGCGCAGATGCCCTTGGCGGTTTTCACCAGCTCCTCCTCGCTAGGTTCTGTCCGAAAGACGAGGAGGCCCCTGTTCATTTTGGCAGGGTCCAAGGCCCAGTTGGAAATGCCCACAAAGCCAACTTTCTTGTAGGCCTCCGGGTTGTCGTCATCAACGCAGCCGTCTTCCAGCAGAGGATGCAGCGTCTTCAACGGCATGTCGGGCGAGTCTTCTGCAAGACCGATCTCATCCAGCAGGACCACCGACGCAAACTCATTCAGGTTCTTGCCCTTCTGGAACTGAGCGCATTGTCTGAAAGTGGAGATGATGCCTTCTGGTTTGGAATGGGGGCTGCACTGGAAGGAGAGCAGCTGAACTTCTTTGCATCTTTTGAACAACGGGCTTCCGGACAACGTGCCCTTCATGGCATTCACAGCGATGGTTTTGGAGAGGGATTTGGAGCTTCCTGGCTTCCCAACCAGAAAAAGCGGCACCCGGAGGTCCATGCAGACGACCATCATGAAGATGTTCTCCTTCAAAGCGTTGTTGCAGGCCGTCGCCTTACCAATGGAGACGTTATCAAGAAAGACCTCTTGGCACAACTCAATCTCTTGCTGTAGCTGCCACGCGGGGACCGAGAAGCATTTGGCAACCTCCTCCAGGTACTCTTGGCGGCTCTCCAGGGACACGTAATAGCAGACCCCTATGGAAAGGGCCAAAGCCCTTTGTGCTTCGTTTAAGGTTGGGTTCTTTTCCTCCTCGCATGGCTTCTTCTTATCGATCTCCTGGAAAAGGAGGTCTCTCAAGTCATAAAACCAGAGCACTATTTTCATGCAGCGGTCTATATCCCGCAGGCTGGCCACTCTGCACTCGTCCTTCCTCTCCCTCAGGAACTTCTGGGAGGCCGCAATGACATTGGTGAAGACGTCCAGGTTTCCCGCAGGGATCTGGGTCTCCACCGCCGACTTCACGATCTCCTTGATGTAGAGGCTTTGCGTCTTCTCATTCAGCTCCCCAAAATCCCAGACCAGGGGTAACAAACTGGGAGGAAGGGGCTGCACCCGATAGACCAACTGCCGTAGAGGGATGTAACCCAGCTTCTCCGGGGTGTCCTCACTCCGGACGCGGTACCCCAAGCCAGCTTTCTCCAGCTTCTCAATGGTGTCCTTGGTGTGCCTTTTGTAAGGGTTGCAAGCGGCCACCACTTTTAAGCGGTCAGTGGAAATGCGCTCTCCGTTGATGCTGTGGTCACACAGCACCTCTTTGATGGCGAAGATGGCCTCCGAGGTGTTGGCTTCGTCGAAGAAGAGCACCGTGTCCATGTCGTGCTCTTCTTCATTGGTGCGGGCCAGCTCCACGGCCTGCCTTACCTTCTCCTGGATGGTCTTGGACGTGGTGCCCCCATGCACACGCACCACCAGCATATTCTGAACTTTCCTGCCGGCCCTTTGCAGGTTGCACATGAACTGCACCAGCTTTGTCTTCCCGCAACCGGTTTCACCCATGATGATCACGGGGATCCCACACTGGAACCGCAGGTGAATAGCCAACATCTTCATGGTGTTGTCCAGCGTCAGCTGGTACGAAGCATCTGGATCATCCTGGCTTTTCACACCAAAGACTCTGCGGAGGGCCCCCAGCTGCTCAGATCGGGATAAGGTTTCAAATTTCTCATTGAAAGGAACTCCTTGGAGCTCCAAGATCCTGTATAAATCCCTGCTCATAACCTCTTTCTCCAAAACAACCTGGGAATAAGCATCGATCGCGTCAAGGTTCTGGTTGATGTGGAAACCCAAAAACTCCATGGAGTCATCCTCAGCGTGGAAGACTACGTAAGGGTGAGACTCCTGCTCCCACTTGCGCCTCAGCTGGTACTGTCTCAAAACACTGTCCATCTCCTTCTGCTCCTCGCTCGGCACGCTTTCGTCGGCCATCTGGAGGGAAGGCATGGCAAAGTCCTTGGACATGGAGATCATGAACTTGACAACGAATGTTTTGAAGCCGCGGAACTGCTCGCTGACCACTGGCCCACAGAAGACCGATTTCTCGCATTTTTGTAGCTGGAAGTTCAAGAAGTGCGTGAAGTTGCTGAGCTCGGTCCAGGAGGGGTTGCTTCTCCCGCAGAATTCCATCAAGCAGTCCAGGCA